TCTATGAACAACTGCCTGTTGTCTTCAGTATGAAAGCAATATATGCGTATCCTTTTTTTCCTAGGCAAGTTCAATTGGCCTATATTTCGTGTTTCGGTTTTATCTGCTTAATTATGTCCATTTAACTACTTTGAGCAACATGTCTGTGCAAATGAAACAATAACTATGACACTTGCTTAGTTTAGTGTTCTTGGTTGTTGTATAATTCAGTTTAGTTGAAAGAATTATGATATACTTAAGTATAGTGCTTGAAGCCTGTAACGAAACAGATCAATTAGTAAGCAGAGTTGCTTGTCTCTAATGAGTATACTGATTCAGATCAGTCTGAATAAAAATAGGAAAAAACGTGCATTTGATGCTGTTGCTGTCATACATTATAAGATAGCGATAAGTATGTTTGTTGTTTATTTCTAGACTGTTCATGATCACTGTCATTAAACAATTTCCTCAGCAATAACATCGGTAGTAAGATAGCTAAGCGTCTGAGCTTATAGTTGCCCACATAACAGCAGTATACAGTCTTAGAAGATGAGTGTTCTGTGTCTCAATTAAATGCAGCTGGCTGTGGACAAATGTTAAGAATCTTTTTGAGAACTGGTACTTTTAGTTTATCAGACACTTACTCTGCTTGTATGTTTTCCTGTTAACCTAGACGCAGATGCATGGGAATACTTAAATGGGAGCAAAATAATAAAAGCATTGCAATACGGTACTAAGCCCATGTTATGCTTTGCACAAGTAATAGTAGCTGACGTTATCTAATATACATGAACTCAAGGTAAATCACAACTGCATAAATTCTTTGCTAAAAAACATATAATTTGGTTATTTATCTATTCCACATTTCTGACTAAATTCATCAATTTTTTCATTTAGAATGCAACAGGAGTGAGCCTTCACAGATCCTAAAAACTGTTTCGCCCTTGGACTATGGCCCTATAGAACTGTTTACGGGAGACCCAACGAACAGCAGATTATGAAAATGATGCTGGACGTCCATTTTAGTCTCACAACCACTTCCAGTATTTTTGACTTCTTTTACTCTTTCGTTTGGAAAAAAACAACAAAAACTGCAGCTTAACATTACCATACAACTGTTCAGTCTTCAGTCTTCAGTAATAAGGATAGTAGGTTGATGAACCTGAAGGTCCAGCTTTCCTTGAAAGTATTCACTGATGGGGCTGATACCACTTGTTCGGGTAAGGCGTTCCAATGATTGACTACTCGATGAGAAAAACGGATCCCATTTTAAGTTTATTAGATTGTGGTTTATGAACATTCTTGCTATGACCTCGGAGATTATTAGTGCTGGAGGGAGCAAAATGATAAGACATATTAACACCCAAATCATAATTAAAGATACGAAATGCCAGTATAACGTCACCTCGTGTCCTACGATACGACAAGGGGAAAAGATTTAGGCGTTTTAAACGCTCATCGTAAGGGAGTCTAGAAAGACCCTTCACTAATTTCGTTCCAACACGCTGGACACGCTCAAGGAGTCAGTATCCTTTACCAGACACGGGCTAGCTGCTTGGATACAGTACTCTAAATGTGGTCTAACATATATGGGATATAAAATTCGAAACGTTTCCGCGTCTTTGTGTTTCTTCCCGAACTGCATCTGTGTTGTTTTACTTGACACTTGTTCTTGGCGGTAGCCATATTGACTTGCTCCTCCTTTTGTGCGTGTGTTCTATCCAGTCAGGATAGAATAACGTTGATTTGTCGTGACTGGTAATTTTCCCTCATCTTCTATCAACTCCTTTATTTATTGTAATTTAGATTTATTGATTGAACAATTATTGGTTGAATAGCCGGGTGGTAATATTTGTTTAGGTAACGATTTACATTTAAATTTATGATGAATTATAGAACCGCTATTTACCCGATTACTTGTTTTGATTTCGACGGGAAAGGGCGCGTGTCAAACGTACCTGGACGGTTATTCTTCAACATCCAAACCGTAGTTTGGATTCTACAATAATTTACACAATATGATCAAATACATATTATACAAAATGATCAAGTCTGCGGATCTGAACCGTGCCATCCGATTGGGTGAATGTTCCCACGATATTGTGGGTAGTTGCTGAACAGTCAACTGAACGGAACACATCATACACAGTTCCTGTGAGAACATTGGAAAGTTGTGTATAAGGGCCAGCTCACAGGCGCATTCCAAATGAAAACCATTGTCACAAAAGTCTGCTTCCTATCACTTTTCCTCTTTCTTCTGGAGGTTAGCTAGATTATTAAGATCTCCACATTTCAGAGGAATCACAGAATACAGTGGACATCTTGGATGCAGCTGAACGATTTGGATTTCACAGATGAGCTAGTTCTTCTATTCTGCCCACAGCAACACATGTAGGTGGAGACAGACAGTAGAGCAGCATTAGGCCTCAAGATACACGAGGGTAGAAGCAGGACCCTGAATTACAATATGGCCGGCACCAACAAAGCCACACTTGATGGGGAATCTCTGGAAGAGGTGGAAACATCTACGTACCTAGGTAGTATTCTTGGCATACAAGGATGTTATGTGGCAGGTGTGAAGGCACCACTTGGCAAAGCAATATACGCAATCCTATAACAACAAGATTAAAAGTGGCACTATTTCTTCATATACATGTATACACAAGGCAGCATGTGCTTCACTGGACCACATTACAATTAGCAGCTTCACATCACTACCTGATCGTCGCCACCAAGATGAATCTGAAGCTAAAGAAGCAGTAGACAACTGGAGATACAGCATTACAATGGTTCAATACAGCCTTCCTTCGACATACTGATAAACTCAACGAATTCAAGATAGCCCTCAAAAACAGGTTCCATGCCTTGCAAGATCTACTGGGGAAGAAACTACTGTAGAGGATAATTGGAATGGGATCAAAGAAGCACTAAATTCAACGTGACAGTATGTTCTGGGCCGCACTAATCGTCAGCATGAGGAGTATATCTCTATTAAAACCCTGGATAACATTCGAGAAAGGAAGAACAGGAAGTAAAGAATTAGCAACAACACAAACGCGATACACAGAAGCAAACCGTGGAGTGAAGAAGCATTAGAGTTGATAAGCGAAAATATGAGGAAGACTGCGATGACAACAGAAAGGCCGCAAAAATAAGAGATACTGGACAACGATATGATGCAACAACGAAGCTTGTAGATAAACCAGAGCTATCAGCCGAGAACGAAGGGAACCAATCCCTGAAGACGAAGAGCAATAAAATTAGTGGATAGAACGCTTTGAAGAGCCACCACAATAGTCAAGGCAACCCACGAGAAATTGCCTATTGTACTCAGGTTTGTTCCCGCTCTTTCTCGTCAAGACTCACCTCCGTATGGAGTGTACATCCAGACAAAGTGATCACACACACTTAGTGAATAGCTAGAGGAGGGGGCCTGGCAAGCTCGTACTCACACATGGACTATCGTCTTCGGTTTGAACTAGCTGAACCGCTTATATATACTGTTATCGTTAGCAAATTTCTTTGGATTGTTTCCGCTTCGCTTATTATCATCTCCGTTCCCTCTTCAATTGTAAAAATTCAGTCTTCCCACACTATCAGTATCACCTAATAATTAACATATTTACTACTTGAAACCGCTGTCTTATCCTAGCATACGAACTGTCCCTTTATTTTTCACATTAAGATGGTGCAGTCATCTCCATGGCTGTGTGATAGGTGCTAAATATCAGGTACCACATTGACCTAAGACAAACGTACACACTCGAACTACAAGATACACAAACTCCTAAATGACTACCAAACTTATTAGAATCAGTTCTGTCGAATAGCCAAACTAATACCCATCAAATGTCGAAACCATAAACAACGTCATTTCGATTGCAAAGCATTTGGTGAACTATGAGTCACCGAATGCACCGCCAAAGTCCCAAATTGAAACCATACTTGACCTTAATGTTGCTGAAAAAAGCTTGATCTGATCAAACATCACAGAAAATAATTAGCTGTGATCCGAAAATAAGATATGCGCATGAAAAGGTCGGAGCGTTTATTCATAGCATCTTGCCAGATGATTTTACGAGTCCGTATAAATAATTAATAAGAATAAGTAGAAGGACCAAAGGAAATGTTGCACTTCTACCGTGCAGACTGCTTGATGTAATCCTATATTTGGAAAAAAACGAGGAATTTCGTTAACTAGTACTCCAAGTCAATATGACCTTGACTATTGAGTGAGACTTGACATTATCCTAGAAAGTTGAATGAAAAGGAAAGCTTTACTAGCTGAGCTATAAACATGTCGACAAAATGATGAAGAAAATTTCCAATTCGTGAGTTTTTGAGCAGTAACGTCTTGGAAGCAAATGTTATTAAGGCTTGTACGAATAAGTTGTGTTCTTAATGAGTCTTACATAAATGTTCGCAGTCTAGTAAATAACTTTTATCAACTTGGGGTATTAGTGGACAAATAGAAGCCACTCAACGTAGCTGTGGCAGAAAGTTGGCTAGTAACTGACTTAAGCGTCACTCCAGAATTATCGGGATACAAATACGTATAAAGCTATAGGTAAAGATTCAGGAAAGGTGTTGGGGTACTTATATGCATAGCAAATAATACCATCACCCATGAAATTTGTAAAGTCGCTAATCATGAACTCACATTTGAAGGTCGTGCATTTGTACTTGGTGTCATCTATGTATTCCAATCTGATGAAATGATGACTTTGTTTTAGAGCACATACAGCAATGGAGTGAAAATAATATTCGTCTGGCAAACCAGGATCCGAAGGGTCAGAGTCAATATCTTTGATAGTAAATTTCAATATGTTGATAAATGTAGCAGAATGACATTCTAGATCCTCCGGCAACTCAACTAGAACATACGTCACAGCGGGAGAATTATATTTTAAGCTTTTGCAAGGTACTGTGCAGACAATGTTAAACATGGGATCGTCCGGCTCACACGAAACATAGACATTCTCCAAGACTTGGTCTGCCATTGTATTGACACAATCAAACTGCTAGACTAAATGCCTTGAGAATAAATGTTTTATGCATGTTACTACATATTCAGTGTCAGATTCAGTTAATTCTACTAATGAAGAAGATTTGAATATGGAGCCAAGACCAGAAAATTCGGGTATAGGTGCCAGCTGCTCAGCAAATGAATCTTGAATACGTTTCCCTGACATCTGAGAAACAAGTGATGCGTTTCGACCTTCACCAGCCATGGTATTAGATTTAGCTTTAATCTTTACAACATCCGATTCAATGGCAGAACTAAGATCATTTGGCTGAACAATATCAGCTATTGGGACTGTCGCCAAAAAGAAAGGACTACCAGCAACTGTGTGTGAGTTGTGCACATAATCCAACAAAGCACGCTCTAAACCAGATGGACTTAGATGCATTTCTTCACTTAAAAGGTAAGCAGATTTTAATGCTACTTGGTTATGTGATAAAATATAGTGGTAGAAGGCTGCGCGATCACGAACCTCATCGTCTTCATCAATCATAATTCGTTTAAGAAGTACAAGAATACTCGGAAGTAATTCCTCATTGTGTGCAGCAAACCTCGCCAGAGCTGTTGTAGCTGTGCACTTAATGGGAGCTGATTCGAGTATAACTACTGTAAATGTAACGAGTAAATTGACGAGGACGTTTGAGGTAGGGTCCCTCCCGTCCTAACAGATGGAGTATACGCTGTGTTAGTTTAACATGTTCACAATCCTCTATGAAGTCACATAATTGTAACAAACCTATACTTTTGACTTCTGGAATTTGTTTGATAATTGATTCGATAGCAACCACAACTGCTTTTTTAAAAGTGTATCCAGCCGAATCACGAAGAAGTCCAGATAAAAAGTTTAATAACACTGTATACTTTTTGGGGTACTTTGTTGCTAATGCATGGATAGACTCCAATACGACTATTTTAAACTCATCGCTTATTTCACTCATGAACGGAGATACATGTTTTAGCAAACGTTCAACATTCGACTCGTTACCCGTCTTTAGTAAAGTTGTTATTGCAAGTGTTGCAATGCTTCTATTAGGATCACCGATTGGTTGCTCAAGATCGAGATTACATGCAGTTACCGCTGCAGGATGGTTACTGGCGACAGCATTTAACGTATGTACAGCAGCATATCGTAACGCAGGTTTGGAAGACGTACAAAGCAGTTGTAAAACACCCACAGCAGGTGCTAACTCTTTAGCTGTTAAGTTTCGGAGGCTAATTATTGCTCGAGCTGCTTCATATATGACCATCTCCGATTTATGGCGAAGAGATGACTCCAAAAACCCATATAATTGTGGATTATTCGAGTGCCCATCTTCATCCAACTGCTTCGCTACTATCCTTATCATGAGACAGTAGGCGTAAGGGGATCTCAAAGTAGACCGAGTAAACTTTTGAATCATTTTTGTCACAGCAAGTCGATCAGATTGACGAATTAAATACAACAGACCAAGAGCATGATATTGTACCATTATACGAGAGCCCGATGCAGCTTCTTGTACTTCATTCGTCCATCTTTTGATTATATCCGGACAAACATCCATTAACTTATATGCTAACGTCAACCCAGCTGATGCTATTGCAGGAGACTTATCTACTACAGCCTGTTTTAGGTAGCGTTCAATACTTTGAACCATCGCTACATCCGTAATAGTGCAAAGCGCCCGAATTGCAGGACCTCGAAAAGCAATTTCTGGGCCGGTCATATCTTTAGCTAAGCTGCTAGTAACAATAATCACGTCATCGGCAACAGCAGACAATTCTTTAATCACTAGGTAAAGCATGCGACGAAGATTTTGGTCATTGGATCGAAACAACTTGGTCATTGCGAAAAAAGCATCCGTTGCCTCTACCTTCCCAACTTTTCACTCTGCTCCAAAATCACTAGAATTTTAGTCAATATGTGCACACATTTCCTTGGGTTAAGTGTTGTTTGATTAAACAAGCGGGCTTCTTGCGAAACCACAGATTTATCCAGCTTAGCATACACTGCTCCGTAGCCTTCTTCCTCTTCTTTTTTATCTTTCCTCTTAGAGCTGACATCAAAAAACGAGGCCATGACGCGTCAGGCAGTTGAAGACCGCGCGCTGCTATGTCTGATATAAAAAGATTCCAATGTTAGTTGGACAGAGGTGGCTAACGTAGAACCTAAAAACTTTTTCGATAGTAGGATTCAGACGACAGCAATGGGGGATGTTTCAGTACAACATGTTTGAACCCAAACTTTTTGGTTTCAAACCAAACATCTTTGTTAGACTTAGCAAACATTCATGTGACGAAGTACATTGTTTACCAAATATTCTTTCAATGTTAGCAAATACGAAACATATTGTTTTGCCATTCATGTTTGGAGCTTGTGATATAATATACAATCACGTTAACCCCCCACAACTGTGTGGAGAGCAAAACATAAAAACCGATCTGAAATGTATTGCGAGAACCAAATGAGCAGTAGAAGTATAGAATAATGGTCTACTTCTTTCACAGTACTATCATAATAATAAACCTAATCCCAAAAATGTAGACATTCCATTATGTGATTACCTAATCCAAAAGATTTTACGTGAAAGTCATAATATTATCTACACTGAATCGTTCTATAGTTAAAATCGGTAAAATGACGTCTAACACTTCCAGAGAACGCATTTCATCTGGGAAGATAGTAGTATGTTTGATGCGATATGCGGAAGGATATGTGACCGCACCTGAATGACCGAGTCACTTCATTTTGATTTATTGTTACCGCGTTCATCATTATTAACCTCTGTGTTAAGTGTTGAATATTAATCTTCAGTTGTCTCATGTTCATTTTCGAGGGTTATTTGGTTAGAACCGATACCAATTCAGAAGTATGACCCATATTTAAATGTAAACTTAATTTACTTACACCTACATTTATACCATTCTTAGTATCGCGTAGACCCAATAAATGCCCAGCATAGATAAATAACGAGGTCCCAGAAATTTTTAGAAAAAGGAAAGACCATTGGAGTGTGCTAACTCTATAAACACTGGAAAGCATCGACCCACTAGTCGTACGACTAGGGATAACTTGAAAGGCTTTGATAAGTAAGACTAGACTTTTAGGTGAAGAGGTTTTACTCGTACATAAATAAACGAATTCAGAAAAGTGATGAAGTTTCACCGCTTATGATACAAGAAAATCCGTTTGTTATGACAATGAATGATGTTGTAAGAGCTGAAGTTTTATCAGAATGTTTTAGTAGACTGTTTTATAACAACGATGGTGAAAAATAGACAACTAATTATGATCAATATCACGAATCGATAAATGTTAGATCACTACTGAAGACCTGGAAGCATTGGACAGCTGTTTAATTCCAGTATCTGGATCCTCATTAGTGTGTATCCATTTATGATAATGGTGGCATGTTGATGGATCTTGTTGATATTTGGAAATAAACTGTCTTACGACTACATGAACATCTCAGACCAGATAAGTCCTGACGATATTCAGCCTATGATAGTGAAAGTTCTAGACGATGCTATAGTCGGATTTATGACCATACCGTTTGGTATGTCTTTGCGACAGTCCAAACTGCCGAGAGATTAAAAAGACGTAATTAACGATTAACTGAGACTTAGAATAAAAATGGAAAATTTTGGAATCCGTTATAAAACCACAAACTGGATAAGTGCCTTTCTCAATAACTTGAGTGCACACTAGTGAGACCAGCAGGTCCAGGTGAACATGCCAAAAGTATTAGAAGTATCACAACGATTTAACCGGTAACACTTAATATGAAGCGTACCCACCGAGTAAAATCAAAAGACAGAAGCGAGGAGGTTCGAAGATATACTTGATATGCTATCAATATATCGAGGATCGTCTAATCTAATCTGGCTAGCGATTGCAGAACATGTTGAGCACGGCGTTCCCATTCGTGATCTGGTGCGGATGCATGACCGAGAGCCTTCAGCTAGGTGAGTCCATTGAAACTAATGTGGTCAGCATCCAACGTCGAAAACTTACAGAGCTATTTATTTCGGGGATTTATTTACCGCTACAGATCACTCCTCCCTCAGTGGAGTAGTAGTGACCCTAAAACGCGGCCAGCCAGAAGTTTAAACCCAATGAGTTTGTCGTTGGTGAACAATCTCCTGATAACTTGCTAGGTTTAACAGAGTCTGGTCGTCTTTCCTTACTATAAGGGACCATGAAATACAATATAGTGAAAAATAATGTACAATAAAAATTTTTGGTTCCTCGTAAACCTCATCGTTCTTTTTATCGTCTTTTCCAGTCGTCCTGAAAAGAAAAAAGAATATGAAAGTGCATATCGAAATAAACTCGTACGCACTTTAGGACACAAAGTAGGTGAACAAAAGAAAATAGTGTAAATGCGATTTTTACAAAATCTTTTTTTGTTTTTTTATTTTTAATACACATATTAGCAAAGTAATATTAATAATAATAATTTTTTCTCAAATAACAGTTTGTTTCATGAGGCATGCCGGTTTACAGGCAAGATCAAATTGATACAAATGATACAATTTCCACTGTAGTAATTTACATTGCTTGGCTGATAATTTAAAAGATATGAATGTAGATGGTTTTAATCGGTACCACAGTTGGCGCGCTTCATGAAAGTTGCGTTGCAAATGCGCAACTGATGGTCAAGGACAGGTCCATTGTAGGTGAAAGCTTCTAAATGTCGCAACCCTATGTCCCTTTGGAATGTCTAAGGCTTTGAGGATGGTGCAGGATAAAATCTTTCGTTCCATATCACAAGGGGGCTGAAAGATGGAGCAAGTAAAATAAAGGACGAGAGGCAGAGTAGCCAATATTCACGAAGGAATGTTTAAGGTATGATTACTCAGTCTAATTTTCTTTTATTAAGGTATTTGTTAAAAAAGAGCATTTTGATAGGTTAAAGAAAATAAGTGTTAACAAGGTGTGAGTGGACATACAACTGACAAATGGAGGCGATTCGGAAAGGAGCTGAGAGTATGGGATTATGTGTGATTATAAAATAAAATATAGTGCTAGAAACAGTATTGTAACATAGAATTGGCTGTCTTCTTTTTATTATCGAAGCTATTAGAGTCCCTTTCGATTTTTGTATTATTATTTTTTTCAGGTATTATAGGGTCTTGAGTAGGCTTCGTATATTAGCGAATTGTCCAGTTTGCTTGTAATAGGATTTCTGGGTAGGAAGTAAAACCAATTCAACGTTCGTAACACGATTTAAAGAGGTATTTTGCGTGATAAATCAGCATCAATACCATTAGTTCGTGACATCCCACTAAACCATAAGGAGCCGTAATTAAACAAAATGTTCTGCCCTACAGACATGGGTGGATTGAAGTTATCTCCTCACCATCATGTTTGCTGGTCAGTAACGCCACCCTCCCTCCTTTTGTGATTTAAGGCTCTCTTGCGTTTGTGGTAAGTATGAATATTGCTTTAATCAATGCCCATAGTTGGAATACTCTGTCTCTACTAGGTCCATGTTACAAGCAAATCAGATAGTTGAAAAGTCTGTTTTATGGGTGAGATGTCCATATAGTATATCACACTGCTATGAAAATAACTAATGGTTTAAATAAGTAAGGACTAATAGCAAATCAAAAGATATGAGAGGGTATAAAATTGTAGAAAAGAAGAAATAAGAAAGAAAGATTAGTTCAGCGAAGAGTTCTCTTTTCGGCGAATTCATTTTCAAAGCTGTACAATCGCAAATATATATACTTATTTTTACAGGGTGATAATAAGATCTATCTACAGGAAACCCATGTGGAATGGCCAACTATCACATTTCCACAGTTGGGTTCCCATCAGCCGAAAAAGAAACTTAATAATAACTCTCGCCACAAGAATACGAAGAATCTGTAGCCCTGAGGTCGTAGAGGAAGAATTGAGTTTTTTAAAAGAGATACTTATCAAAAACGGATATCCTTCTATATTCATTGATAAGAACATGAAACCGAAAATGCCAAGACCACAAACAACTGCAGTAGAAAAGAAAATTTTATACATGAACATCGACTTCAAAGGTGATAGAGCCGCATATATCTTAAAGAGGAGAATTTCAGATTCTTTAAAAAGAACATTTTTCGCAGCAACATTGCGAATATTATTCTCCAGCCGATCACTGTTCGCCAATAATCTGAAAGATAAATTATCGCATCTGACCAATTCAATGTGCATTTACCAATTTACCTGCTCTTGTGGAGCTAGGTATATAGGTTGTTCGATGCGTACTTTATCCAAAAGAATTCAAGAACATTGTCCGGCGTGGCTAAGAAGAGGAGGCAGCGGCTCAATAAGAAGTTCTATAATCGAACACCTTGTGAACACAGGTCACTCAATCAAGACAGACTCTGCGTTCAAAGTCATCTACAAGGTAAGTAGAAACCTTCCTAAGACAATTAGACTACATCTCCTTTGCATTGCCGAGGCAATAGCCATACATTTTGAAAAACCAGAATTATGTGTACAAAAGAGACTGGTACAACCTCTTCTTTTACCGTGGTCTTAAGGTATTAAAATTTTTTTCTCTTTCTCATTACTCTTGTTCTTTTACAGCCACCTGCTTCACCTTCCATCTTCCCTTCAAATCTTGTACCCCCAACCGGTTTGTTTTTATTTCAACGATCATTCCGATTACATTTCATCTCTGTTTCAACATTTTATGTTATTTTATCATGCTGAGCTACTCTTACCCGATGAATATCTAAGCCATTAACTATCAGACTTTCCTTGTTTTTAAAAAATTTTTTTCTAATACCTTTGTTTATTTAACCTCACCGTCACCATGTATATCATAAGTTTATTATCAGTATTATTATCACCCTGTAAAAA